CTTCCTCCAGGAGCGCTTCCCTTCCTCCAGGAGCTCTTCCCTGCCTCCTGCATGCCCTGATAGCCAGTAAAACATGCTAAATTAAGAGATTTCCACTTTCCTCCTCCCCCGTCCCCGTCTCTCATTTTCTCATCTGCGTCGTCCATAATAATGTTTGCTTCTTCAGTTGTTCCCCTGGGAAGGGGAAAACTGCCTCATGCTGTGCTCAGGAGGTTGTAAGTTCTCATTCCATTCTGGAGCAATTATCCCCCTGCACAGCCACTGGCCCGGGTCAAATAGGGCATCTATAGGCAGATGCTGCCAGTACTAAGTGCTGCTTTTCCCTGGGGAGTGCTTCCTCATTGCTCTGGATTTCCCAGGTCAGATGGCATAGTCAGACCCTCAGCAGGTGGTGGGTTTTGGAAGAAAATTCCCCATTTCCCCATTTCTCCCATTCGCCAGGACTCAGCCTGTATTCCAAGCTCTCTGAACACAATACACCCTGCTAGAGGACAGTTGACTAAAACGGAGTCTATGGTTGGCAACACCTGTCCAAAATTCTCTCCCCACCCTTGAAACAATGCAGGTAGGGCTCTTGCTGTTGGGAACAGCATCATTAAGGGCACATCTCTTCCTCTAGCCAGGGAAAGTGCCCGCCAGCTGGGCAGACACTGCTTACTCCTGGCAGGCCTGATGTTCTTTCCTCTGAGTGCTTCAAGAAGTGCCAGGCAGTGCAGCCACTGTGTGTGATGGGCTGCAGCTCACTGAGCCTTGGGGGAAAGCCTAACAAATGGGACAGTCTCAAAAGTAAAGGCATCCCTGAGTAGGGCTGAGGGGTAACAGGAGCTGTCCCCAGCTGCCCTCTGAACAGGGCTTGGTCTGAGCTTCTCCTTCCCTTCTCTGAGCCATCTCCTGGGACTCCCAAAAGAGCCATCAGTGCTTGACACCACAAGGTCTAAGGCTCTCCAGCTTGCCATGATTTCTGCTGTTTCTGGCAATATCAGTAATATAGATAGTACTGAAACAGAAATGTTTCAAGAAATGTCCATGGCCCACAGTGATGGAATTGATAATGGGTTAACAATGCCAGAGACCTCAGGCAGGTCTGTGTCATACAATAGGCCAGTGATTTTATGGTAAGAGAGAGAGGATGGGACTGTATACAGTGTAATTCTCATTATTAAGTAAGTAAAACAAAAATTGATTAATCTCACCAAAGAAAGTGGTTTTACAGAATCACCAAAAGAGGAAAATACAAGTTGGGCCATGAACCTCCTGGGTGAAGGCAGTCAGGATCTATGACAGGACATTCTGAGTTTGCTTTAACAGGGAGATGAAAGCACCAAGTTGCTATTTTAATGCATAAATATTTAATGGTTAGATACTCTTCCCCTGTTTCCTTTCACCAAATCCTAGGCTGCCTATGATCTGTCAAATACACATAGAACCATTTAATTCTTGCTCAGCATTCCTCTCAGCTCAAATCTAGGGAAATCATGTGAAGTTTTGAATTGCCATATACTGCTCCTGGAGGCAGTTCTGCCTGCCCTTGCCTGCTTCTTCTCCTGTCTTCTCCCCCTGCCCGTTTTGTGCTGGCACAAGCAGCTGTCCAGCCATGTAGCAATGGATGAGGCCATGTCTCTGGGCAGCAGGGACAAGTTTTGCCTATTTAAACTGCAGCACTGGATGTGAGATAGAACTTAAATGTCTGGCAAAGTCAGTTCTCATAAGCTGATGCTTTTTAAGAACTAAAGCAGACAATTCAGCACATATTTTGCCTGCCAGCTCCAAGCTGGGGCATGTCCTTTTAATGTAGCTTCTTCTCTTGTCAATAAAATACTACTGCTGGGAGAAGACAATATTGTCCATACACCTCCAGACATAAAGAACTCTCCACAGTTCAAACACAGCAAAGTGTTGGAGGGATTTGAACTCTAGCTGTCATAGTGCAGGGGTTGGATCACACTCCGAGGGAGGATTCAAGGGAAACACCAGTGTCATATTCTGATGGGATTGGCCTGTCCTTGGTACATCTGCAGGAGGTCAGGGCAGTGAATTTGACTGAAAGCCCAACACAACCCAGGCATTTGAGTTTCAAAAATCAGTGCCTTTGAAAAGCTCTTCTCTTCAGCAAACTGAAATATTATTTAACAGCTGAGGTGAACCTCCCTGAACAAATGCTGATTTCCATGTGCCTTCACACAAGTGTCTGTATTGTACAGACTGTGAGCTATATCACACATGCCTATGATGTATTTGATGTTATCAGTGCTAAAGATGTGCAGTTCCTCTCTGACAATTCAGTCCTCTGCATTATGTATAAACAAGAGGGAAAACCAGTAGCCAGCAAAGCACGTGAATATAAAATAGTTTGTAGAAATAAAAAAAGAAATTAAGAACCCAAAGTCGAGAAGCTTATAGACCACTCTGTTACTGCTTCTCAGATTCTTGTAGTTGGTTTGTGAGAGTGTTGGTTGGATCAGGCAGTTACTTCTACAGAAGACCCACTCTCAATCTACAATCAACAAGGATTATAAGAATCACAGCTTAAAACTGAGAGACATAAATTGTAAATTTAAGACTTTTACAGGTAACAAGGTAGCAAATCATACAAATGCAGTATTTATCAAACTTCCCTCCTCTGCATATCCAAATACATCAGAATTTCCTGTTACATGTCTGAAATAATTTGCTAAATGTAGCAACTAATTTGATCCTGATTTTAAATTTACAGTTGTGATTAAAATTTTGATTTGCTTTCTCTTAGATGAACACCCCCCCTCTCCCCAAACTGACTAATACGGAATCAATTGCTG